AGCCCCCTTCAAGTACTTTATTGCTCGGAACTCCCTGATTGACCTAGGTTTCTCTGGCCCAGTCTTTACTTGGAGTAAAAAGCAACAAGGGGATGACCTGATTCGAGAAAGACTTGACAGAGCACTATGTTCGACCTCGTGGAGAAATGAATTTGAAGCCGCAACTGTATCACTTGAGGAATTTTTGGAATCTGACCACTGCCTGATCAGGATCGACCTGCATCCTAGAAGACACACCCGCTGTACCTCCTTCAGATTTGACAAGAAATGGAGGGAGAGCGAGGAATGTTGTGATATTGTTCTCAACCGATGGCAGGAAGGGGGAAATGTTGGCGACAAGCTGAGCAATTGTAAAAATGATTTGAAAATATGGGCCAGGAATGACAGAATAGCCAAACTGAAAAGAGAAAAGGAGATCAGGAGTAGAATCCAAGCTATCCAGGGATTTTTAGGTCTACAATGGTTGTGACAGAGGAGAGGAACCTGCACATGGAACTGGAGCACTTATGGAATGCAGAGGAATCTTGCTAGGCTCAGAGATCAAGAATCTCATGGCTTCAGGAAGGGGACTAGAATTCTGGCTTCTTCCATACAAGCACTATAAGAAGGAAGAATCGGAACAGAATCCTTAAACTGAAGGACTCAGCTGGCAACTGGATTACCAACGCGTTTGATTTGGAAGCTCATGCTAACAGCTTTTACCATGAGCTGTTCAGCAGCAATAATGGACTGGCAAGCATGGACCTGCTGGCAGGATTCCCTTGCCTTGTCTTAGAAGAAATGAACCTTTGTCTTAGTGCTCCCATTGATAAGAGTGAGATCCGGAGGGCTGTCTTTCAGCTAGGGGCTAATAAAGCACCGGGACCGGATGGATTCCCAGGGCTTTTATTCAGGAAGTTTTGGAATTCGATTGAGGATGTCTTCTACAGGCTGGAACGATACCTTTATCACAATAATTCCTAAGGTTGATGCTCCGGAACTGATCGGCCAGTTTCGGCCAATCAGTTGTTGCAATTTCAGGTACAAAGTCATTACAAAAATCCTCTCCAACCGTCTCCAACCCTGGCTTCCGACTTTGGTTAATGAGCTCCAGTCAGCCTTCACAGGAGGGAGGTAGATCCAGGACAACATCATAATTGTACATGAGGTACTCAACCAGTTCAAAAAAAAAAAAATCTAGCAACAGGAAAGAAATGATGATGAAGCTCGATATGAAAAAGGCCTATGATTTGGTCGAATGGGACCTACTGATCAACCTCCTTCGGGCCTATGGTTTTAATGAGGTCTGGTGCACCTGGATCCACACCTGCATCTCTACTGTCTCCTTCAGTCTCCTCTTCAATGGCGAGCCTTCAGAAGCCTTCACACCCTCGCGAGGCATTCGACAAGGGGACCCGATCTCCCCTCTCCTCTTCATCCTTATGTCGAATGCCCTCTCTTTCCTGATTGAGAAAGCAGTCCTGAGGAAGGATATTAAAGGAATTAATATCAACCGCCACTGCCCTACACTCACTCATTGCCTATTTGTTGACGACACTTTTATTTTTGGTGAGGCTAACACTGCCGAAACGGGGAAGATCCTTGATATCATTAGAATCTATGGGGCTGTGACAGGTCAAGAAGTCAACAAAGACAAATCTTCAATGTTCTTCAGTTCCAATGTCCCCATACCTGAGCAAGGGAGGATCATTCAGGAAGCTGGATTCTCACCCACTAACTGCCACTCAAGCTATCTTGGAGTCCCAACCGAGTGGGGGAGATCCAAAAAGGAACCTTTCAATTTCCTTATTCAAAGAATGGAAAGCAGAGGTGATTCGTGGAAAAGCCTCCTCCTCTCACCAGGGGGAAAGAGGTACTCCTCAAAGCGGTGTTCCAAGCAATCCCCTCTTATATTATGTTCCTGTTTCTCTTACCTAAAGCAACAACGAAGAAGATGGACTCAATGTTGGAAAACTTCTTTTGGGGAGGCTCGATGAATAAAAGAGCTATTCACTGGAGGGCGGGTGAAGTCCTGTACGCACCAAAAGAGGAGGGGGGCCTGAGATTCCGACCATTCCACACTTTCAACTTGGCCTTGCTTGCCAAACAAGCATGGCGTATCCTGACTAACAAAGATGGCCTGTGGGTCAAGGTACTAAAGAGCATCTACTTCCCAAATTCGGATTTCCTGAGTTCCAAGAAAGGGGCAAAGGCGTCATGGATTTGGTCCAGCCTGTGTGAAGCGAAGAAGTGGATGGAAATTGGGTTAATCAAGGTCATTGGTAATGGTAAATCGACCAAATTATTTTATGACCCCTGGAGAAGAGATAGGGCAGGACCTCTTCTGGACTTCAACTGGCCTAACCAGTCCACAGCAGATTCATGGATTGATGGCATCACCAGAGAGTGGAAGTTTGATCTTCTGCAGAATTTCTTGAGCCCTCACGACCAGAAGCAGATCATGGCCATCCCAATTGGCCCGGAATCCCTCAATGACTTTTGGGCATGGCGATTCTCTGACCAGGGTTCCTTCTCTATGAAGTCAGCCTTTCACATCTTTCACGATCGGACCAGGAGTACACAAGGATCGAATGGCAGGGTTTCAGAGGAGAGTAAGAGTAGGTGGAAATGGCTTTGGAGCCTTTCTATACCTCCGAAGCTCAAATTTTTCTTGTGGAGAAGTTCGAGGGGAGCGCTTGCCACAAAGGAAAACCTTCATGCCAGGAAATGCTCACCATCCATGGCATGCCCTCTCTGTGATCATCCTGCGGAGTCTATCCACCACTGCCTCTTCACCTGTAATCATGCAGCGGAGGGTTGGAGGCAGGAATGGCCAACGACTCCTCTTCCTACTCCTGGTGTCCCTCTCCTGGAATGGCTTTCTTCACTGGTGCCCAGTTTCTCTCTAACCTCTATCCAAAAGATTATCTTCTACCTGTGGCAGACATGGAAAGCAAGGAATGAGAGGATTTTCAAGCATTCCCCCCTCTGGCCCCCAGCCACGATCGCGAAGGCAGCGACTGCTCTCCACCAGTGGATCACCTGCCCCAAGAAGCCTACCACAGCTAACGTTTCTACTCAGCCCACCCCATCACCAGAACGTTCTTCACCACCGCCGAGTACTCATAACTTTGAGATACACTGCGACGGGTCGTTTTTCAGCGACTCCCAGGAGGCGGCATATGGCGTCATTGTTATAAACGGCCATGGTCAAGTATGCGATGGTAAGGCTGAGACTTTGCACTGTTTTCCCCCACTTGAAGCTGAAGCCAAAGCCCTTTTGATGGGCGTGCTCATAGCTACTGAGCTACACTCTACATGTCATGTTCGTTCGGATTGCCTGCCTCTTGTAAAAGCTTTGCAGGATCATGAGAAGGAATGTCCATGGAGAGCTGCGGCTTGGATTTGCTCTATCAAGCAATTGATGGTGTCCAATCCCCTTATCCGAATCTCGCATATAGGTCGAAAGAGCAATGTTAAAGCTAATTGGGTTGCTAGATCTTGTGCCAGAAACTCGTTACCCAATGAATGGGTTCAGATTCTGGATGTAGTCTCACCCCTCTTGTGACCTTTGGCTACTACTTGAGTAATGAAAAGCAGTGTCCCCTTATAAAAAAAAGGCAAAATTCACTTCCATAGCCATAACTTTACACTTTGTGACAAATATAACCAAGTTTTGAAAAATACACAGAAATAGCCATTCCGTCCATTAATATAACAGAATTGTAACGGTGGCTGACTGGACAAACGATCGTTTGTGGCTACAACTCTCTTCGTTTGCGTGGCATGCCATGGTGGAATTTAAATTAATTATATTTATTAAAAAAAACCAACTTTACCAAATTGTTTCGTGGATCCTCTTCTACATCCGCCCCTCCCCATTCTTCACTTTTCCTCTTCCCAGAAATCCCACCTCCATTCCACCTAATTTCGAAATCGTCGACCACTCTCAGTCGACGTACGCAGCGAGATGGAGATTCCAGTTCACCACCACCCATACCTAACTCCCCACCTCTCGCCTCCTGCTCCTGTCCCTTCCAAATCGCTCTCACTCTCATCTCGCCTGCACTCACTCACTCACTCTCTCTCTCTCTCTCTCTCTCTCTCTCTCTCTCTCTCTCTCAATCTCACTGGAAAAACGATGAATGGGTATGTAAGAAGATTATGACGGCCTGATTGTAGATCTTGGGTTCGTAGAGGAAGGAGAAGATAGATAGATCTAGAAGAAGACGAATGGATTCGATCTCAGCATCTCCTTCACAGTTGCATCCCCTACCAGCGAGCGCTCGACGACGAACTTAACAGAGCAAAATCGACACTCGACGGGGAAAGGCAGAAGAGGAGCCCTACTGATTCCACCATCCATCGATTATATATTTGTGTTCTTTATCGGGTATCTCGTCGAGAAAAGGGAAGATGAATATAATAGGATATGGTTGGATCACGTTCGTTGCTTCGTCGCTGCCGATAGTGGGTTGGCTATGATTCTGGTCGGCGGCGGCGGATCTGTAGGGTGCGGCGGGGATTGACTACGGCAGCGCTGTGCGTGCCTTTCTTCTTTCTTCTTCTTTTCTTTTATCATTTTTTGTTTTTTGTTTTTTCCTTTAATTGAAAAAAAGAAGGGATCGGTCAATAAGATCCACATGCCCTGGGTCGATGTGGTCAATTTTTTTTTTTTATAAACAACATTTTTAAATTTTAATTTGACATGGCATGACATGTGGCAAGCCACGTCATCTAAGAGTTGACGTGGAAGCTGACGAGGCGCCATCTCAGCTCGTTGTTGACGGACGTTAACGGCATCTCCAACTCCGTCAATTTGTCTAATGGAAATGGCTATAATTGTCAAGGTAGTTTCAAATTTGTGGCTATTTCTGTGTATTTTTCAAAACTTGGCTATATTTGTCACAAAGTGTAAAGTTATGGCTATGGAAGTGAATTTTGCCAAAAAAAAAAAAAAGTCCATCATGAACCCAAATCAATCAACAAATTCATCAAGCAAACAATGTAACATACCGCAAGCCACACGTCATCCCTAGTCCGTAGTCAGCTACTCTCATGTCCCTTCCGGATCTCCTCCGACCGTCATTTATTGCCGTCGCGGAACCCTAACGATTAACGCCAGTAACTCTCTCCCAGTATCGGGAAAAAAAACCCCTCTCAAAGAAAAGAACCTACGCTATTTCTTATACTTCTCCTCGCCATTGGATGCTTGACAATTCCCATCGCGGCATTGGGCATCGTAGTGCTTCTTTTTTTCCCACCCACCGGCGCAGTTTCTCGCCTCTCTTGGTAAAATAGCAACCGGAAAAGCAAGATATCCGGTTATTATTACGTGACCTTCGTGTTTGACTGTCAATCGATTTCTGACCTAGATTGAATTGAATTTAATATGCGGTGTGCTTGAGTTAGGCTCGTTTCGATTATTCCTTTTTACACTGTTCCTTGTTAGAATTGGAGAATGGAGATGCCTTGAACTTTCAATTGTCTCAGAAAAAAGAGAGAGCTAGTTGATCGAACGAACGTCGAATATCTTCCGCTCTATTTCGCTCCTCAGGTTCGTTTTCAAATCCCTTTCGCTTTGTCTGTCTGGTTAAAATTGCTTCCATTCTAAATGCTTCCTGGGTTTTTGCAAAACTATGCTAATGACTAAAGGTTTTAATGTGTTCAGGTCTTCTTCTGACCAAGTAGCATAGTTATAAGACTGAGGTTGCCAATAATGGATAGAGAACTAGAGAATCGGAATGAAAAAGCTGATGATTTTGTACAATCCCCCTCGAATTCACGGTCGGCTGATGAGAACTATGAGGAAATTGAAGATGCTGAGGGAACCTTCCCACCGTCACAGATAGACGAACGGGACGATGAGGAAGCTGAATTTCTGGCAGAAAGCTCGTCTCAGTTTCATTCAGGTGCTGGCGAGATGATTGAGGAAGGTGAAAATCTTGTGGAGGAATCGCCTGAACCTCAAATAAACGAAGAAGCTGAAGTTGTTGTGGAAGCATTGAGCAAAGTAGTTGGCACTTCGAAAAGGTCTTCTAAGTCGTTGGGGACTAAACCTAAAGATGTGGAGAAATCCCCCGCTGGCAACTCATTGAAGAGATGCAGTCCTGTAGGCACTGCTGAAGTTGCCATGGAATCGACCACCAAGCTCAATTCAGGTGACGACCAGATGATTGATGAAGGCAAGAACCCTGTTGTTGAAGAAAGTAATAAATCTCAAACAGATCAGGAGAAGAGTGACGAAGCTGAGGATCCTATGGATTCATCAGATAAAGCAGAGACCCCCAAAAGGATTGCCAAGCCACTGCAGGCGAGATCTAAAGTTGCCAAAAAATCTCCTGCTGGCAACTCAGCGAAGAAAAGCAACATGATAGGCGTTGCTGAGATTCTTATAGACCCCTCCACTGAGCTCAATTCAGCTGATGACCAGATGATTGATGAAGGTGAAAAGCTACTGATAGAAACCGTTAAACCTCGAACAGACGAGAAAAAAACTGAGGAAGCTGAGGACTTTGTGGAAGGATCAGATAAAGCAGACACATCTGGGAGGACTCCAAACTCATTGCAGGCTAGACCTAAAATTGCCAACAAAGCTTCTGCAGCGAAGGTAAAATGTGCAGCAGGTACTGCTGCAACAGGTAACAAACAACTGAAAGGGAAAATTATAAAGAAGAAGGCTCTGCGAGTGGGCAATAAATTAAGTGCTCGATCTGAAAATGGAGTTGTGATGGGTTTAGCTGCTGCTGAGAATGTACAGAAGAAGGATATTGTTGCTGATATAGAGCCCGGTGAGAAGGACCATGTCAAGACCCCAGCGAATGAACTGATAGTTGGCGAATCAAGTAAGAGTCAAGAGGACCAAAAGAATAATGGGAATCAAACAGGTACCACTAGGATAAGGGTTCGTAACCGGAAGAATAAGCGAAAAATCGATGGAGGGGCAGTGAATCAAAATGTTGAGAAGAAGAAAAAAATTGATACAAGCGACAACGTCCACCAAGATGAGAATAAGAGGAAGAATGTGCTTGGGGTTGACGACAAGAGCCCAAAAGATGAGAAGAGGAAAGGAAAGAATATTGCAAACGATAATAAGAGCAATCAGGATGAGAAGGAGGAAATCGATCACAAGAAAAGTGCCCAAAATATGAAGAATGAGAGACTTGGTGGTTTAATCTTTATGTGTAGCTCAAAAACCAGGCCTGATGTTTTCAATTATGGTGTCATGGGCGAGACTATTGGCAAGAAGGAAATTGTTCGGAATATTAAGCCTGGTCTTAAGCTTTTTCTCTATGATTTTGAGCGCCGAGTTATGCATGGGATTTATGAGGCTTCATCTTCTGGTGGGATTAAACTAGAGCCCAAGGCGTTCGGTGGCTCATTCCCAGCCCAGGTGATAGTATTATCACCTTTATATACCGATCTATGTCTACATTTTAGTCATCTATATAGTTTCTTCTTACTGACATTATCTGCAAATCCAGGTGCGGTTCAGGATCTACAAAGAGTGCAGCCCTCTTCCCGAGTCCACCTTTAAGAAGGCTATCAAGGAAAACTACAATAAGAAGAACAAGTTCGATATAAAGCTTACAGTTCGACAAGTAAGTATCTGGGTGTTTCATCTACCAGTATTACTACTATTTCTTTACACAATTCAATATAAAACCGTCATCCCTGAACGATAAAGAGAATACAGAAAATTTGGTGTGGAGGCACAATTGAGAGTATTAATGTTTTCATAATCCTTTTTTCGAAATCAAATGGTCATGGTTTTAACATATGCGAGAGAAGTAATAAAAATAGAAAGATCTGTTCTTCATTCTTGAAAATTCAAACGACCACTGAGACATTTTCTTTGGCATGGCAATGTGGTCAGCATGACTATTGATTGAAATATATCTTCTTGTCTCCCATCAGGTCAGGAAGTTAATCACACTCTTCCGACCAGCTGCCTCCTCACTTCCGCAGACAAAGCCACTGCCTGCCCACCCTGCCCAGGCAGCTGCTCGGGATAGGGAGCCTCCTCGCTCAGGTAGAAGAGATCGTTCGGAAAGGGATGCATTTGCTAAACCGAGAGATAGGTCTCACAGGCGGGACCCAGCAACTAAACTTAAAGAAAACAGGAGTTGGCAGCACCCACCTGCTCGACGACGACACGAAAGGGATCTTCCTATTAGGTCCAGGGAGCTATTGGCGTCACCAGTACAGAGAAGGGACCCACCACCGGCACGAGAACGTGATCTGTACATGAGTGAAAGGGAGTACCGAACTTATGGGCTTCAATCAGACCAAAGAAACTTGTCTCCTATGCTTCGCCGCAGTTTAGATCGTGAAAGGGAATGTGAAAGAGAACGGCTTGTCCGGCAGGCTGAGTCGCCCATTTACCGTGATCCCTTACGGGTTGAACCGTTGTACTACACTCATCATCAGCAAGTGGGTGATCCTTATATCCCAAGTGCTCGAGGAGGGGAATTGCACTATGGACCTTCTTCTTCCGTAGCTGCAACCGCATCTATTCCAACCTCTGGTTTGGATTCTTATGTAAGAGATTCATACTACTCAGTGGCCTACGATTATGGTACTGGCACTCTGTCTTCTTACTTGCCAAGTCTGAGGAGGGATGTTGGTTCGGGTTACTCTTCATACCTACCAGTCGGGAGGGAACCTGAGCGACTTGACCTGTTGCGCTCTGGTTATGCAACGACTTTGGACAGGTTATCTTCTTACGATGATCCGAGATACTACTCAGAGGCTAGTGCGGAAGCTGCTCCAGCTACTGCGCCAGTTTCATCACGATACTCATTCGCCGGGCCATCATCTTACAGCTATCGATGAGTTGCTGCTAAGGTTTGAGCCTTTGAGCCGTGTTATACCTCTCTTTCCTGCCTACTCTTGGTTGTTTTCATATTGGCACTTTTGCGCATCTGCAGAATGTTCTTTATTTATTTATAGGCGGGCTTATGAATCATGAAGGTAATAATTTGTAGCTCCTTTGATCCGGTCGTGTATGCATTTGATTGGAGTTTTTTATGGCGCAAATCCGTTTATGTGTAACAAAACAAAAGGCAGTCTTTTCTTTTATTTAATTTTTTTTCTTTGACAAGCAAAGATGAATGCATGTAACAGAAGGCAGCCTTTTCTTGTATCGATTCATCAAGTTAGGCCTTTGAAAACTGTTGTCGAGCAAGCTTTTTTATGTACGACATTTGCAATGGAAGACAAATTCAAAATCAAAGAGCAAGCTTTCAGATGAAATATGCTAATCTTATTCAACGAAAAGCCTTTACGGAAAATGGCAAAAAAGTAGGAGGAGGTAGAGGTTGCAACCTGTGTTTTTCCCCCTTATCTCCAACTCACCACTCGCCAGGACTCCAGTAGTAGTCGGAGGTGACATCCACCAATTCCAGGCAATTGAAGTGCGGGAAACCATGGAAAAAATATGGCAAAGAGATTAAACAAGGTTGTCAAATTGGTTTAAGTCATTGAGCCGGTTAAGCAAGAGGTTTGAGGTTTAATGGTTTGATCGTGGTCCGATAGGTTTGAGCTGTTTTAGGAGTTTTCTAAATATATATACAAATAAGCTAATAATTAAAGATTTAATGACTGAAATAAAATTTATCTTACATATATCTATTAAAAACTTATTTTTCACAAAATAAATCTACCTAACCTCCATGTCCCGCCCACCATCTCCCTTCTTTCGTTCATTTTCCTCTCTTTCCCCTCCCTTCTTCTCCCTCTTTAGGGGTTGGATCGGGGGCTTTCTGGAGGCCGTTTTGAAGCTCGACTCGAGTCGGACCGGGTCCAACCAGGAGTTCAATAAGGATTTTACAACCTTGGACTAAACAAAGTCAAGAGCCTAGAAATTGAAATAGTACACACTTGAAAAGACGTGATTTAAAACCTAGAGCTTAACCCAGGTGAAGTTTCAGCTGAAACAACGATTGAGCTTAGCCACAACTTTGTCAAAAATAAAAGCTTAGCCACAAAAGGAGTTGTCTTATAGCCGTCAAACCCGAATTGTGGTACAGTTTTTATTCTCTATTACAATGATCAAACATTAACCCGTTTTGTTCATCGTACACAGTATCTAGATAGGGTGGGTTATATATCCATCAATAACTAAACATGAACTCTTTATTTACAAAATCCAGATTTAAAGATGGACCGATTGAGAGTTAAAGGTTATTTTTATATTTTCTTGTTTTCTTAATAAGCTCATATATTTTTCGTTTTAACTCGGATTTCAAAAATTTTTGCACAGATGGAACGAGTAAGTTGCGCTCTACAAAACGAGACTCATTTTCAATATTTTTTGAGAAATTGTTTTTCTTACCTCTCGGTACCAACTGCATACCATATGGTATCTTCTTCGTTTTTAAGTCATTTTTGAAAGCGTTTGCACAGAAGGAACGAGTTCATCATGATCTATTGGATCTACAAATTTCTAGATGAACAAAATACAGGACCAAAAAATATTACACAATACCCCCAAAATACCACCATGGTACGTGGTGGTATCTTGTGGTACACAATGTTAAAAGTCGTAAATGACAGTTAATATATTTCTACTATCATGTATTCAACCATCCTACAGTCTTGGTTTGTTCATACCATCATGGTACACTTTTCAAATCATAGGTATGCTCTTATTTCAATACTAGTCAATACAATATGGTTATAGACTGGTAACAAATGACTCAATTTTTTTTGTTCCAAAAATATATCAAAGTGGATATCATTTTGAAGAATACAATTAATCTGATCTAACTGTGCAAAAAAAAATTAAATTTCGACTTAAAACGAGTGATAAATCGTCCGTTAAAGATTAAGAGGGAAAATTAAAGTCTTTTCAAAAGAGAGAAGGGATGCTGATTTGGCGGATGATGATCGGGTTATGCATGGGTATTGACCAGAAGGTTATTGACCGGATCTGCACCCTCGTACACATCCTAAATAGGGTGGGAAGAGCAATCGCCAAGTTTCGACGAAATGCGTGAGATTGGGATCTCGATTGACCACCAGCCAAGGTTGTCAAACCGGTTGAAGTCATTGAGCCGGTCAAGCAAGGGGTTTGAGGTTTAATGGTTTGATCGGGATCCGGCCGGTTTGAGCCATTTTAGACGTTTTCTAAATATATATACAAATAAGATAGTTGTTAAAGATTTAATGATTGAAATGTAATTTATCTTACGTGTTTCTATTAAAAATTTATTTTCACAAAATAAATCTACCTAACCTCCATGTCCCACCCACCATCTCCCTTCCTTCGTTCATCTTTCTCTCTTCCCCCTCTCTTCTTTTCCCTCTTTAGGGATCGGACCGAGAAGCTTTTTGGAGATCGTTTTGAAACCCAAATTAGTTCAGATCGGATCCAACCGAGGGTTTGACAACCTTGCCACCAGCCCATGAACCTACCAGAAAAAAGACAGTACATAAGCAATTGAAGTTGGAACCAACAATATCATAAAATTTTGCCTACCAATCAAGCTAAGAAGATTGTGAGAAAACCTAGGATGAACTGCAGTGATCACAATCTGTACGCAAATTTTAGAATAGAACTACTATTAAATGTTTGGGTGAAAAACAAAATGAAACCACCTGCCCAGTTGTCGATTTTCTTGATAAGTGCCTTGGTCAAGAATTAAATAGTTCTTGCTATAAAAGGAAGAGTAGCACGAGGACATTTTTTTAATCACTCAGTCTTCATTATAAGTTGACTTGCATCCAAATTGTATTATTCTTGCATAAAATCTAAGCATTCACAGGAGACTCAAACAAAAACAGTTTTAATGTTTTTGTACGGTTTTTGTAAAAATTTTATTGGTGATGGTGAAATTATTGTAAACAATAATCACAATGATTCTTTGTAAGAACACATGATGACAATTGATCATAATGACTCTTTGTCGAAACACATGAAGACAATGACTCTTTGTCAGAAGACATGAAAACAATTTATCACACCGCCACACTTGAGCTGAATATTGTCCTCAATGGACGATAATTTAGGGAGTAAGAATTCGAATTGTTATCATTTTTCTTTTCGAGTGATGTATTGGCAAAATGCACAATGATGATGATCCTCCCGGGTGAGTTCTTTGTTCGAAGTTTGGTGATGGAGGATTGCATACATTTTTCTTAAATTGAAAAATAATAAAAATAAAAATGATTATTGGGTTGCCTCCGAGTTAGTGCTTATTTAACATCGTCTTAGTTGGACTCCAGTTTAGGTGCTAGGGGTTCGCAAGTGGATCTGGGATAAGCTCGTAGAGATGACCCGAATTATCTTGAGTGAGCTCCACTTTTCTTCCGTTTTGGCCGCCATTCATCCTTTAATTTTTCCTTGGACGATGTGAGTCGCTTGGTTAGTGAGGGAGGCGGGGTTTCCTTAACCTGCAAAATAGATGATTCCGTGAACTTTTTGCACATGTGGTGATATATAACATTGATATTCACAAGAATGGGAGTACCATGCACATTACCTTTTGGATTTTTGGGTAAAAAGTTCATGAGAAAAATATACAAAATCCTTAGCAGAACTTTTGGATGAATTATTATCAGAAGGTGTGTTTGACTCATTGTATTCGTTTTGAGGATGGTGGGTTTAGACATGTTAATGGTAAATTCTTAATCTTCCATTCACAAAACTATTTTATTTTCAGGAACATCTATTAAAGCTCTAGATGTTGATAGAAATGGACGACCAAGAATAACAGATAATTCACTTTTTTCTATATCCAAAATCTCAAAATCAATAGGGAAGAGGAAAGCTCCTACCCCAACCAACACATCTTCAAGGATTACTTTAGGAATAACCACAAATTTATCTGCTAGTTGTAAGCGCATGCAAGTTGGTTGAGGTTTTACTAAGCATAACTTTTTGAAGAGCTTATCGGATATGATATTAATAGTTGCTCCTAAGTCGGCCAAAGCATTAGAGTTAGAAAGGTTATCAAATTGATATACAATGGTGAAGCTGTTGGTGTCATTCCTTTTTTTTTTTTGTGGTAGGTTGTTTTCAACGACGACAGCGCAATCTCTAGTGATTGTAACCAAATTGCAATCATCAAATTTCCTCTTTTTTAGAGGATCTCATTCAGGAAATGTGCATACATCGGGACTTGCGACACAAAATCCATGAATGGCAATACTGACATGGTTTTGATTCAGCATATCCAACACTCTTTTCCCAAAATGTTCTTCCAACTTGTTGCGATATATGCGTAATGGGAATTGAAACTTCAACTGATATGGCTGGACAATTGGCTTTGGTGGTGCTTGTTCTTGGTCTTATCCCTGATTTTATGTGACAAGCGATGATGGTGGTGGTGTAGTTGATTGCACCACTTTTTCACTTGTGCACATCATGACCTTGCATGATCCCTCCAAATTCAAATTTGGAGTGTTAAGGATGGAAATGGCATTGCAATGCTGCTTCTGTTTTGAACTTATATTGGTGTCGCTTGGCAGGCTGCCTTGTGGTCTTTATGAAAGAAGCTTGGCAATTTGCCTAACTTGTGTTTCCAAATTTTGCACTGAAGCTTGTAAATGTCGTTGGCCCCTCTCATTATTTTGAAATCGATCCTTGGAGATGGAGATATACTTTTCCAAAGCTTGGAACTTGGATTCTAAGGTGGCAATGAACTTGCCTATCATATCCTTGAGGTTGGGTTTCTTCTATGGTGGTGGCAGTTGTTGATGAGAATTGCTCGATGATGATTGATTGAATATGAATGGAGCTTGTTGATTCCCTTGGTTGGACCAAGGGAGGTTTGGATGGTTTCTCCATCCCGGATTGTATGTTCTGCTATATGAATTCCCGCCGCTCTGAGGATTGTTGATACAATCAACATGTTCAGTGGTGGATGTTGAGGAGATCGACTTGCTCTCAGCCGTATTGTGGTCACTAGTGCACCATTCACACTTGAACACCTTGCCAGATATGGTGAGCTGGTCAAACTTCTTATTGAGGATTTCAACTTGCGCGGCCAAAGCAGTCACTAGATCGATTTGACGGAGTCCGACACTTCTGGTTGGTAGTGGTGTGCCTTTGTTTCGGGGAGAATACCATTCATAACTATCTGTTTCCATGTCTTCAATTGGATGCTCTATTTGGGGAGGTGTTTTGTGTTTTTGATAGTGCCACCCCCACTACATCAATTGATTGTTT